CCCCCCCCCCCCCACACTTTAAAACTTGTGAATAGTTTTTTATCAACGACTTCCCTCATCATTCCACTCAAGCTCTCTGCTACAATTGTGATCAGGAAAGGAGAAAGAGGATCTCATTGTTTTAATCCCTTTGACACCATAAATTCATTTGGAGGATTTCCATTAACCTAGGTTGATACCATATTACTTATTAAACACCCTCAAATTCATTATATCCATTTATGTTGGAAGCCTAATATTTGTAGAATGTATAACAAAAACTCCCAGCATACTAAGACATATGTCTTCTCATAATTCACTTTAAATATCAAACTCTTATTCTTGTTCCTTTTTGCCTTCCCCACCACTTCACTTGCCACAAGTGCACTATGTAAAATATATCTCCCACCCAAAAATGCACTTTGCCTTTGATCAATGACATCTCCCAAGACCTTTTGGAGTCCATTTGATAGAATTTTGGTCAATATCTTATACATGCAATCGACCAAAGATATTAGCCTAAATTATTTAAGCTTTGTGGAACTTTCACCTTTGGAATAAAGGATATAAACAACGAATCACAACCCCTAGGGAGGATACCATTTTCATGAAATTCCTCAAGAAATCTCTACATGTAGCCTAAATTCTCTAAGCTTTGTGGAACTTTCACCTTTGGAATAAAGGATATAAACAAAGAATCACAACTCCTAGGGAGGATACCATTTTCATGATATTCCTCAAGACATCTCTACACATCCCCCTTAAGTAAATGTTAGAATGCATTAATGAATTTAATATTAAAATTTTTTGGGCCTGAGCTTTTGATACTACCACATTCGCACATTGTCTCTTTAAACCTCCACTCCTCAAACTTAGGATATTATAAGTGTTTACAAATTCCAACCCATGTTACAATGAGTTTGCAAGTATTCATTTAAAATAATTATAAACTACTTATAACTATCTACAAATCTTGATCATTGAAAACTTTTGCCTTCATCTCCATCATTGATAACTTGTATGATCTTGATTCTTCAAGTCTTCGAAATTTTCATTATAACTTTGTAAAAATAAGATTAATTGAAAGATAGTATCCCATCACTTAGTCAAAATAATATTCAAACATATCATCTCCCAACAATCGGCTAAAATGATTTTAGAAAGCCATTTTTAATATCAACATCTATATATTAAACACAATCACTATTTTTTTTTCGATAATAATTTTGGGATTTTTTTTACAAGAGAGTTTGTAGTATTTTGTAACCTTTTATCTAACTCATTTTTTATTTATCATTTTAAAATAAGGTATCAATAAATAAAAGTATTTTGTACTACTTTTAATTCAAATTGACAGATAATCATAAAATTATTTTATACATTGATTTGAATTAATGAAACCAAGTATCAAATAGTTTTTAAATTTTTTAAAAATTTGCAGACTTGATCTATGCATTAAAAACTTTAAATTTAATGGTTGGATCGTTGAAATTTGATGTAAAATATGAGTTACTGAACAAAATAAGTATAGGTAGACTTACTCCTAAAATAAATGGATCATTTCTTATATATATATATATATATACACTGGATGTACAAAAATACTAGTTATAAAAAATAATGGTGTTAACAAAGTTCCCTCAATATTTATCTTTTAACTAGATATGAAAAGAACAAATAATACTACCTTCGTTTCTCTATATAAGATGTAGTTATCTAATTCATCAATATTAAAAATAATAGTTAACTTAATTTATAATAATAATTTTTTCCTATTTATGTATATTTTTAAATTAATTTTTTTCCAATTAATACTCATATTTCTCTAAATAAATTATAGTACATTTTCTTTAAAAATATTATAATTAATATATTTTATCAAATTAAAAGAACACTATTTTAATTTAAAAATAATTATTATATAAAAGAATATAAATTAATATTATATAAAAAAAATTATTCTAAAGTAGATTTTATTAATAGAAATAGAAGCAGTATAATTTATTTTGGAGCAAAATTAATTTAACATCACAATTGGATTTTATTCAGCTATAAACTTTAGTTTATTCTTCATAGCTAACCATTTTTCGATACTATTAAAAAAAAAAAATTGTCATGTTTTTTTTTTGTTCGTCCTTGGAGTATCCATCGCTGATAAGCGTGACTAATCTCCTCGCTAGGTTAGATACACTTCAAAATGTGAGATAGCTGATCCCAAGATTTAACGCGACTGCATACACAAAGCAAAATTCGAATCCCTAACCTTATTTAAGATCAACCCCTACCGCTAAACCACACGCTTAGGGTTAGGAAAACTGTCAACACCATCACAATGTGTACACCAAATATAATGCGGAGTATACATAGACAAGGAGATAAAAACATGGACATCAAGTATGGCAATGTTTATAATAAAATAAGTAGGTACTAGTTAAATGTTAAAAAATAATAATGTATTAACCATTACAATTCACACGATAAATAAATCAAACAGCAGAGAAATGTCACGATTCACGAATGCAAACGCTACGAAAATAGACGTACATCCTCATCGAATATATTGGATTTTTTTTTTAATAATAGCATTAATATGGGGTATTCATGATTAAAAATAGTGACTATTTTGTGTATGGAAAATGAGTATTCGCCTTTCGATATAATTTACTTTATACCCAAAATATATTGGATTTAATGATTGGAAAGAATAATTTAGGAGGACATGTTTTATATACATTAATGAATATGTATAATAAAATTTTTGTTAGAGTTTATAAGTGTGTATGAAATGAGTATTTACCTTCTAATATATTTTATTCCTTATTCAAAATATATTGGATTTGATGATTGAAAGGAATAACTTGGAAATACATGTTTTATATTTATCACTTTTTAATTTGCACATCACATAATTACATCAATTTCACATAATTCTTAATAGACTAATGATAACTAAGTGATCTCAATACCAATATCTTAAAAGGAATAAATTGAGTTATATTAAAAAATATAAGATAAATCTGTTGATGATAGAATAAAATAATCCTGCCATTTAAAGATAATTTATTATTTATGATAAATCATTAACTTTTTATAAGAAATAACAAAATAGTCATACTAACAATAGTATTTAATTGAATGATAATATAAAATTATTTTATATGATAAATATATGATTATTAAACTCTTAAAAATTTTAAAAAAATTCTATAACTGTATATAATATAGTTGAGAATGAGAGAAATAAGGAAATCCGAATTTCAATTGAAATTGCAACTTACATTTGATCTCTAAGTCATGTTTAAGATTTTTTTCACCAATTTATCAAAATTTACGGTACAATAAACTTTTTTTACATTTAAGGAGCCCTGTTTATAACGTAACTCTTGGGTGTTCCTCATCATATTACAGAAGCTCCTTCCCATATTGCTCTAATCAGGGAAAACCCACCTAGAGAATAAAATATCATATATTGATTCATATTTTTCTCATCAGTTCAAATATGCTAGCATTTGAGTCGCTAAAAACATGATTTAATAGCATTAAAATATCAATTATATGTTTGATTTTAAAAATATAATAAAATATAAAAAAAAACCTTTGTTCTATGTAATTACCAACCAGTGTTTAACAAATTTAAAAAATGAAAATTTGTTCTCTTTATTTCCATTTTAATTGAAAATTATAATGCTTTTATTCTATTGTATTCTTTTTTATTTATTTATTATGTTATAAAATAACTTTACTAATCACAAATATCTCATTTCTTTAAGCCACTAATTGGCTAACGTCTTCTATTGTATTTTTTTACTTGGCATTTATTTCACAAATGTCTATTTTAAATACTATATATGATATATGATTAGAGGTTTAAAATAGAAAAAATTTGCTCCACCTTACCTAAGCATGATGAGGTGGGTTAACTCACATCGAAAAAGTGAATTAAATTTTTTAATTCATTTTATTTAGTGGTAGGTTGACATATGCTAAAAATAATAAAAAAAATTGTTGATGAATTTACTAAAAAATAACAAATATATAAAACTTAAAAAATAAAAAATACCCCCAAATAATAATTTTAATTATTCTCCGCTATGCAATAAGATAAAAACATGTACTCATCCCTGTATTGTAACAAGACCAAAAGGATGTAATTAACCACATCAATCATATCTCAATATTTTTCATTGTCAACTGTGAATGCTAAGTGTTTCTTTCTTAATTTACAAATCATTCAAATCTCGTGTAAAAGAAAATCCAAGAAAATGTCATTGAAACACTATTTCACCAAAATATTGAAATTCATCAAACAATGCCAATAATTAAAGATATTAAAAGTTAATCACCTATAATTTTTTTTTACAATAATAATCAATTATATTTTTTAATAGTGTCATATCAGTTACTTATTTAATAAAATAAAAATAAAATAAAATAATTTAAAAGATATAATTGATTATTAGTGTAAATTTTTTTACATCAATGGGTGATTGACTAATAATTAAAAGCTATATTTCGATAAAAGTAAGAAACATTATTTTGGAAATTCCAATACGTATTTTCAAATTCGAAGGTTCAAAATGAAGAAGGAAACTTTTGTCAATTTGAAAATAGATTCACTTTTAAGCTCTCCAAACTACAATTTAAACACACTACACTCATCAATCTAATCAAATCTCCACCACTTCATCTGCTTCATTTTCACAACTAATTAAGTGAGATGGATAAACATTAATTATATACAAGTTTAACATTAAAACAAAAATCAATGCTACCGTAGACCATCACAGTGCACCACTTTTATTCACCATTTGATTTATCTTATCATTTGGTAATGTGGTATACCACCTTATACTGGATTTCTCTCTCTCCTTCATCATTTATTTGTACACCACCGTCTTTATCACTAATCGCAAAACCACAAATTCCACAACCCCATCCAATTCCTATTTACAGTTGTTTGGTCTTCCTCTTCCTCAAGATTTGCGCGTGTAAAGCTAAGCAATTGGAGTCTTTCATTTTCCTTGGCACTTAATCTGCAACACCTTCTCCCCTTCAATGCTGAGCCATATGCACCAGTGGTCCTTGTAGCTATAAATCGATCCGAAAGTCGCACTAGGATCCAAAAATAGGTGGATGTAGGTGGCGAGTTTTTGGCTCTATTTTTTTTTTTTTGGAAAAAAGGAAGGGTTTAAGGTGAGGGACAAACAATAAAAATAATCTAGTGTGGGTGGGTAAATTACATAGTTTTGTTATAAGATAAATCTTATCTAACAATAAATAAAAGCGGTGCACGGTTTATAACAAATAAATATAAAAACCAATCTCTTTTTTTATTTTTATTTTTTAATTAAAATTATTTATAATTTTCTAAAACCATCTTTTATTTCTTTTGAATTTTTTTTTCTCTTTATGGAATTGTCTTATTGTTAGAGTGGGGCATGGGTGTATGATAGATATTGTAATTTGTAAGAGGGGAGCGTAGGAAGTAGGAAGTAGGAAGTAGGAAGCGAAGATAAGAATGAAGCAGATCTGAACACGTGGTGTGCGCTTCTTATAATCGGATGCAAACCTATTTATATTCCATCCTTTATTCTCTCTTTCTGGTCCGCCCCTTCCCATCTCATCTAATCTCTCTGTCCTCAGCTTTCACTCCAAACCCTCCCAAACCCTAACCAAACACCTCACCCCTCTCCATCCATCCCTTTCGCCCAATCCGACAATCCACCGCACGCCGCGCAGCTCCGGCGGAATAAATCCACCATGGCGGCCTCCACCACCAGCCAGGTCTACATCCAGGTAATCGACGATGTCATGAACAAGGTTCGCGACGAGTTCGTCAACAACGGTGGTCCCGGCGAGGAAGTTCTCAAGGAGCTTCAATCCGTAATAACTCTTCATTTCATTTCCATTTCCATTTCCATTTCCCTGTTGTTTTGATTTCGTTTCACCTGTACGTGCTTTACTTTCAAATTGATTCATAGATAAATTGAAATTGTTGACTGATTTGGTTTGGGGGAAGTCGTCTTATTTTTAATTAGGGCTTCGATCTAAGCATTTGCGCGATTTTTGTTTAGTTTATGAGTTTATTTCTTCAATTGTAATCAAATCTTTCGTATGTTTGTTTAGATATGGGAATCGAAGATGATGCAAGCTGGTGTAATTGTTGGTCCCATAGAAAGGTCCGTGCTACCTAAGCCAACGCCCGGTGGTCCAATTACTCCAGTTCATGATCTTAACGTGCCTTATGAGGGGACTGAAGAGTATGAAACTCCTACAGCGGAAATGCTTTTCCCCCCTGTGAGTTTGAGCTCTTTATTGTGAATTTGTAAGTTACATCTTCCTGGAAACGTGTTTTTGTGAGGGTTATTGATTGGGATTTTTAATGTAATGTAACAGACGCCGTTGCAAACTCCTCTTCAAACTCCTTTACCAGGAACTGTGGATAACTCGATGTATAACATTCCCACTGGACCTAGTGATTTCTCATCTGCTGGAAATGATTCTGGAGTAAATAATGAGATAAAAGGTGGAAGACCTGGTCCATACATGGTAATGTTTTATCATTCTTTCAGATTTTACTTCCGTAATATTTTAAGTAGATGCCTGACACAGTGCATGGTGGTACTACTTTTTTTTTTCTTTTTGATGCATGTATTATTTACCTTGAAATATTTTACAGCAACCTCCTTCTCCCTGGGCGGCGAACCAGAGGACTTCACTTGACGTCAATGTTGGTAAGTCTCATTTGAATCTAGAGCATGGTTTTAAGCAATATGGATTTACAATAATGACTGTGTGTGTTACTTTAGCTTATGTGGAAGGGCGGGATGAGCCAGACAGAGGAACTTCTAATCACCCTCTGACACAGGTAAGCAACTAGGTGAGGTCTTTTGGAAAAATTGTCTGTTTTCAATTTTGAAGAGGCCTCCTGGCAGAGTTTCTTTCATGAAGTCAGAATGTTACTTCTTTCTCCTTGTAACATTTTTATCAGTATTCTTTTGTCTTAAATTGACCTGAAAAGAGAAAACAGAGAACCCACCTAGCATTTACATATTATTGGTGTTTGGGAAAACATGCAGGACTTCTTCACAATGTCCTCTGGGAAGCGGAAACGTGATGAAACTGCTTCACAATATAATTCTGGTGGATATATACCTCAGCAAGATGGAGCTGGAGATGCTGCATCTCATAATTTTGAAATTGAAGTATGGTCTTCCTTCATATTGCCAATATCAAATTGATATTTTGTACATTTACACCTGCTTGGTGCTTGCATATTATTTGTAGTTCTGTATTGATGGTAATAATAATATATTTTCATCTCTGTGACCACATCTGTTTTTCTTGTAAATGAACTTGTGGTGTATGACTGAAGGTATACAATAGTAGATCGGGTTTAATAACATATATTTCAACTTGTTCTGTTGGATACCTTTTTTATCTTACCTACAAGCAATGTCATGTTTACATCATTGGAGGCAAAAGTGCTTGGATTTTCACGGGGATAGTATGAGGTTATTACTGACACTTGAATGGGCACTGGGGCAGCACGGAAATATTTCTAAAGAGGATGATAGGATATTTGCAGACAAGTTTGAATAACAAGGGTTCTCTGTTAACAAAAACTAAGCTTGAATTTAAGGTTCTCACACTGTCTAAATGTGTTATCAGAACCCACAGACAAATTGCACTGGGTAGTGTATGCAAAAATCACGCTGTCATAACGTGGGAAGTGGTGGGGTTGGGAGGAGATTGGGATGTGGGGATGGAAGATGGTGAAAACAAGCCTTGCCATCTCTACCTACTTTACATCAGTTTTTCCCCCTTTCCAAAAGGGCATAGGTAATGCAGAAATCTCATAAGTTTATCCAGACACAATGGTGTGAAGTTGCAGTTTACCATGTATACAAATAGATAATGACTTGAGTTCAGAACACAAGTTTTGTATAATATGCTTGAGTTGACTAAAGTCTGAAAAGGCTGCACCCTAGGACACCTTGTGTCAAATAGATACAACAAAAAACAGTTTATAAAAGTTTGACTAAAGATAACGAGATTTTCTACCCCCTCAAACTCCATTTGTCCGAGCAAATTAGAGATTGATAGGTATTAGGTAGGTTGAGGCTTTTGTTATTCTGTCGTCTATTATTGTTGTAATAGATTGTGTTGTTTTTAATCTTTAAACTTGCCCTATTTAGGGTTGAAGTTTTAGATTCAAGACAGACATTGAAGTTTTTATTAGTTCCCCAAACACCATTGTATCATATGTTCTCTTGTCAATGAAATCATTTACTTGGTATAAGGGAAGATAACTAATTTGATGCTTGATCCACATCTCAAATTCTTTATTGTGTTAATTATTATTATTAAATTATAGTAATTTCATCTCACATCTCAATATATATTAAGTCTGTCCAATTTTGGAGACATTGCATTTGATTTTGTGATCTTTCCTGCCATTCAATGTTTAACGTTTTTGTTATTTATTTTTCTTCCTAAATGGATTGTTATTGGCCCAACTATTTTGATTTTCTTTTCCGAAGCACTCATGCAGAGCATGCAGATGCTGATCTAGTTGAAAGATAACAAATTTCCTCATCTGGGATTTTATTTAAGATTTTATTGAACTTAAGAGACATTGTTCCATGAACTTTGTTTCTTTTGTATGTGATGAACCACATAATCCATAACAAGTGTTTATAGTGTTCTTTTTTAATGAGCTGTTGTATGAATAGCTTCCATTTGACAGTATATAAGATTGCGCTTCTCAACTGTGGCAAACATTATGTCACTGATCTGCAGCATGTATATTTGCTCAGATGACTATGTTAAACAGTATAGGTCTGTCTTCTTTCTGAGCTGATTATTGTAATAATTGTACATTGTACTTTTGGGATCTTGCTTTACATATATGCATGCATTTATTTCTGTCTATTAATTGTTAACTGCTGGTTGATTGAAAAGCCGATTTAATTGCTGAATTTTTTAATATAAATCTTTCAGGTATATGGAGGGGACATCTCAATTGATGCAGATCAGAATACTTTTAAAGGAAAAATGTCAGCACATTTGGAAAGGACAGCTTCTCAGATTCCTCAACTTGATGGACCAATTCCCTTTGATGATGATGTGCTTTCTACTCCAAATGTGAGTAGTGGATTTTTTCCTCCTTGTGCTCATAAAAGATTGTATTGAGATGCTTCCTCTTTTGTTCTTTACTGAGGCTTATAGATATGCTTCTGTACATTTTTCACTTATATCTTTTGTTTTTTGGGTTTCCTATTTTCGTCTTACTTTTAATATTTTGGATAAAGGTGTATTAAACCCTTTTAATGTTGGGTTTCTAGTACATAGACACCTCAGCTTTCAATTTTTGTAGTTATTAATCTGCTTGCATTTTGAAAAGAAAAAAAAAAGGATTCATTGTGTGCCTTTTCTGCTTTCATTTGTTGATATGAATATAAACTTCAAAACAACCCATACTCCCTTAATAATGTTCAACTACCAATGCTTCTGTTCTTTACTGAGGCTTATAGATATGCTTTTGTAAATTTTTCACTAATTTCTTGTGTTTTGTTTCGTACTTTCCCGCTTTTAATATATTGGGTAAAAGTGTATTAAAAACCCTTTAATGTTGGGTTCTAGTACATAGACACCTCAGCTTTCAATTTTCGTAATTAGTAATCTGCTTTCAATGTGTGCCTTTTCTGCTTCAATGTGTGCCTTTTTCTGCTTTCATTTGTTGATATAAATATAAACTTCAATACAACCTGTACTTCCCTAGTAACGTTCAACTACTGAACTACCAATGCTTCTGTTCTTCTTTCATTTGTCAATATGATTATATGAATATAAACTTCAAAACAATCCATTCTTACCTTAAAAATGTTTAACTACCAACGCTTCTGTTGTTTGCTTTGGGAGCTGGGACTGGGATAAGATCTTTCCCTGATGAAATAACAATTTATTTCAATGTGTTTGGTCCTCATTCACTAGATTTGAGGCGATATGTGAGGTTGCTTGATTGTCACAAATGAATGCCATTTGAGTTAGATTAGGTCACAAGTAAAGACACGACTCAATATTTCTCTTTGGCATTAGATCATACAATAACACTTTGTTTCTTGCTTTTCCAAGGAAGAAATTATCACCAATAAAGATTCAGTACCCAGAAACGGATCTCCTGTTAGTAAGAGAGTCTACCCATTTTACTTTTGAATATCCCCCACAACTTGAGTATGCCTTTTTCTTCATGCAATAAGAGACCTTGTATTGGAGTTACTTTAAGATATTTCTAAATGTAAATTATTGCATCCCAATGTCCTTCACTGGGAAACTTGAGAAATTGGCTTATCAACTTTAAAAGAAATATTTGGACTAGTGACAGTGAGATAATTTAGTTTCCCAACCAGCCATCCTGTGTCTGGGTCAAAAGTGGCCCCTTCTAACTTGCAGAAGTTTGACATTGGGGTCCATAGGAGTGTCCTCTAAAATGTCCATTGCATTTTCCTTTTTTAGTACATATATTATTCTCCATTATGTTATTGAGACACAAAATTGATCACACATCTTGTTTTTGTTGCATTCAATCTTACTGTTTTTATTTTACTTGGTTGTAGATATACAATTATGGAGTGTTCAATGAAGACTACAACGTTGCAAATACACCAGCTCCTGGTAAATTGGGAACGTAGATATGTTACTTATATTATGTCTAGGGTTTTGTGCATTTATCTATCTATCACAAATGTTTCTGATGCATATTTTCACCCTATTTATTAGAAGTATCAGCAAGTACCCCTGCTCCTGTTGCTCAAAATGAGGTTGATGAAGAAGATGACGATGACGAGCCCCCCCTAAATGAAAATGATGATGATGATTTGGATGATTTGGATCAGGGTGAGGATCAAAATACTCAACATCTTGTTTTGGCCCAGTTTGACAAGGTAGCAACGTTGCTCTTCCACCTTTTGTGTAACTTATATTTTGAGCGCCATAAAAATGTGATATTGTTGTATGTTTAATGATTCATTTTTGGAAAATCATATTTTGAGACTAATAGATGTCTTGCGACAAACATAGGTGACACGTACCAAGAGTAGATGGAAGTGCACCCTAAAGGATGGTATCATGCATATAAATAATAAAGACATTCTCTTCAATAAGGTTTGTTAGTTGTGAAGGAGAACAATGATATGCACTTTTCTGTTCAGTTCAACTTGTCAAATTGTTGTGTTGGCTGAAACTATGCTATTCTGCAGGCAACTGGAGAATTTGACTTCTGATTTTGTCAGGGATTGGTCTGCCATTTAGTGGCAGTGCTTTGGTGAAGTTGAGTATTTTGTAATCTTTCTTTGATTATAATTATTAAATTAGATCTGGAGGAAGAGAAAAGTCCTTAATACTTTCGCCACTGTTATATTGATGTTGGCCTGTTGTACATAAAGGATGAGCAAATTTTGGCCTTTACATGGATAGGTAGTCCGAGGCATTTCCCGAAGTTTGCCATTTGTCTAGTGGGATATGTATGTCTATTACTCTATTAGCTCTGCATACTTGGACATTTTGTTTTCCATTTGAGACTATATGATATTAGACATTTTAAACTGCCGTGACTCTCGTTTGTTTTTTGGCCTTCCTAAAAACGACGATAATGACTACTGTACAGGTTATATGAGGTTACTGTATTGGAGAACAATCTAAAGAATTGAACCTAATTTTTGTCTCGGTGTTTTCTGTATTACTAATAACTTCCATTTTCTTATTTATTTATGGTAGATGAATGGTACAAAACCCAAAATCCATGGTTACTGCATGTTAACTGGGCGGGGAATAGGAACTTTCGTTGCTAAAAAGTGAATTGATTAAGAAAAACTAAATAACTTTCTAGAGGTATTGGTTGAGATTAGAAGCTTCAATCTTATAGCCTCCCTTAATCTCCAGTGTTGCTTCATTGAGATTTGAGAACCATAGGACATGGTTGCATGCGGCAGCCGAGATTACTGGCGGCAGTTAACTGCCATTCTTTTAGGCGGAATGGATTTTAAAGTTGGTATCTAATTTAGAATATCATTTAATAAGTTAAAAATTTGAAAGGCTTGATCTTTCATTTAGGAAGTATTTGAAAGGATTTCTTTAAATTGATGGAAGTACCTTGTTTTTTTCATACTTTTTACTTTTTTTTTTATAAATTTTATTTCAATAATTTACTTAATGCAGTAAAAACAGATGCGAAGGTAAACTAAGGCTAAGGTCGTTTGAATAAGTTTTATATTTTTATAATTTATTATTTATTTTAAATAACCAAACATATTGAGATTACGCTTAAACCATATTTTATGTCAGATTCAAACATAATTTTATTTTACAAAAATCAATTACATTAACAACAATCGAATATTAAAATAATCTCTAAATTCAATTCATTTCAATCATGGATTTATTCCTATTCTCATGCAACATATGATCTATTTTTAGATTAAAAATATACAATATCGAAAATGAAATTCTCACTTTTCATACTCTTATTTATTTATTTTATAAAATGGAAGGTAAAAGCCCAATCAACTACAAGTGCATTTTATAGGATATTTTCAAATCCATGATATCCTTATAAAGGAACATAACACTACCACGTGGCGTATCCAAAAAATTCAATCCAATGTTGTGATTATGAGCCAAGGAAGCTAAGTAATCCTCGACAACAAGCAACCTAACTATTTTCATCATTTGCTTTAAAAGTGATACACACTGCTTCCGCATATAATAATAAAATTTTAAATTTAAACATGTTTTCGGTACTTATAAAATTAATAAGTTTTTATTTTTTTTTATCATTCTAAAATTTATAAACATTATTTTTTTATTTTTATAAAATAAGTAAATTTTAATTTTGATCTCTATAAAATATATATTTTTTATTTTCATTTCTCTAAAATCTAAACTAATTATTTTTAGTTTCTAATGATCATTTTAAGATGAATAAATAATATTTATTTTAAAGACCTATAAATTCTTTTAGAGGTGTTAAATATTAATATGATATTAGTAATGGTTGTAGGTAATATTTAAGATAATTACTTAAATTTTAATAAATAAAAATAATAGTTTTAATTTTATGGGATGAAAAACAAAGAATTTAAAAAAAAAACTAAAATCAAAATTTGCTAATTTTACAGGGAATGAAAACATATTTAAATCTAAAATTCATTTATCAACCATCTTAAATTATCTTCTTGTTTGTTACTAAATCTTTATTGTTTAATTGATACTTTCAATCAATCTTCGTTTTATATCTCTAAGTTGAATTTTTTTAAAATATCAATAATTAAAAATAATTTTATATTGTTTTTCAAAAAAATAAATTTATATCATATTTTTTTTATGAATTTATAATTTAATTTATACATTTAAAATATATTATAATTTATATATTTGAAAATAAAAGAAATTACACGGAAATGTCATAAAAATGCTTGTACACTATGTCACTATATGTCTTTTCTATTTTTATACTAACTCTCCTAAATCTTAATTTTTTTTAAATTACATTAATATTTCTTTCGTAAAAAAAATTTCTTAGATATTACTCAGGTCTCCCTTAATTATAAAAAGAGATTGTTGTAAGGAGATTGCAAAGTTTACCTTCGAAAATGTTTGTTTATCATAAATTTTAGTTTACTTATAAAATAATAATGTTTTTTTACACAAGGTAGTTGTTTTTATGGACGAAAACAGTTGTAGTATTCCAGAAAATTACATTAAGCGATGCATCTGACCACGTATTTCAAGTTTGGTTTCTTGTCTCTCTTGGTCAATATAGAACACAATGTTCCAAGTTCAATAATTATTTGACAAATATCTTGGTACTCTGATCGTGCTCCATACATCACACACGGGGGGGCATTACTTTTCAACATTTAGAAACAGATAACAAAACCAAACCAAAGCTACGATGATTCCACGCACACTTCACAGTTCATACATAGTAATAATCATACCCACACACATATTCTTTGTTCTCACTGCCTCTCATGGCATCAACTACTCTCTTCAGCTTCAGGCTCTCTCTGGTTAACCCACTGCACCATCAACCGATAAAGAGACCAAAAGCTCTACTCTCCTCTTCTCGCATCAATCCACGCCTCGTTTCTCCCATTAACAATCATTTGTCGCTCACACGTCTCACATATCCACTTATCCTATCTCGCTCTTCTCCTAACCGCAGATTCCACGTGAGGACTTCCTCCCCAAAAAATTAAAGAAAAGCTCATCAAAGTTCCATATTTTTAGTCTAATTTTGCTGAATAATCATATGGGCAGGTTGGAGTACAGAAAGAGTATTCTGATGGGGAAAGCTCCGAGTCGCTTGTTTCTGACACAACAAACCAAGAGGAATTCTCTTGGTCTTCTGTAATTCTTCCGTACGTTTCTGTCATTGTTCCTACATAGGAGAAGAGGGATGTTTTTGGAGGGAAAAGTGAAAGTTTGTCACTTAATGAATGTGTGCACGAGAAAAGCATCGAATATCAATCCTAGTTAGTTTAATGATCAAGCATTGTTAATTTTAAAATGTATAATCTGCTGATTTCCTGTTCCACTTAATCAGTATGTTATTTCAAAATCTAGGTTTGTGTTTCCTGCATTGGGTGGCTTGTTATTTGGTTATGATATTGGTGCCACCTCCGGTGCTACAATCTCACTGCAGGTAAATTTGTTCTTCAAATGTCTTTCAATTGAATTTTGTTCTATTTCTATTGTTAGTACAGTAACAAAATATTAATTTTTAATATTGTTGATTTGAATTCACAGTCACCTGATCTTAGCGGTATATCATGGTTCAATCTTTCTGCCGTTCAGCTTGGACTTGTGGTACGATTTCAGCATCACAGTTGGAAAACTTCTTGCAATTTTATGGGAAAGTTATTTGTCATCTGTACATTAGAATCTAATCGTTAAATTCAAACATATAGGTCAGTGGTTCCCTATATGGGGCTCTACTTGGCTCGCTTCTTGCATATGCCATAGCTGATTTCCTTGGTAAGTGCTTTGGTTGGTTACTTACATTATCCAACAACTGAAGCTTCTTTTTTAGATTGTTTCTTATTAAATCTATTAAGTTGGCTAAAACACTAGGGAGGAAGCGACAACTCATTGCTGCTGCCCTGTTGTATGTGTTTGGTGGTGTGATTACTGCCTATGCACCAGAACTTGGCGTGCTCTTAGCAGGAAGGCTACTTTATGGACTTGGTATAGGTTTGGTAGGATACTTTGACCTGTAACATTTTTTGCAATATTCTTGCACCATCTTACAAGTGAATTGCATTACAGGCCATGCATGGGGCTCCTTTATATATTGCGGAGACTTGTCCATCACAAATCCGTGGGACTCTAGTATCATTGAAAGAACTCTTCATTGTCCTGGGGATTCTGGTATTGCATTGTCTTTTATATATCTTTTATCAACTAAGGAATTTATTGAGGCGAGGACTGACCTTTTATGTTATGCAGCTGGGTTATTTTGTGGGTAGCTTTCTGATTAATACAGTTGGGGGATGGCGGTTCATGTATGGCTTTAGTGCTCCAGTCGCTGTATTAATGGGGCTTGGAATGTGGACTCTCCCCCCTTCTCCACGGTGGCTGCTTCTCAGAGCAGTGCAAGGAAAAGGTTCTTTTCAAGAATTGAAGGAAAAGGCAATTGTTTCCCTGAGCAAATTAAGGGGCCGACCAGCTGGTGACAAAGAATCTGAAAAGCAAATAGAAGAGACCCTTGTCTCATTAAAGTCTGCCTATGCAGATCAGGAATCAGAGGGGAATTTCTTAGAGGTGTTTCAGGGTCCCAATCTGAAAGCTTTCATAATTGGAGGGGGACTAGTGTTATTTCAGCAGGTAGGTCAACTTTGGTGCAATGAGTATGTTCATAATTGTCGTAATTGTTTTGTATATTTCAACTTTATTCATGTTATACTGAAGGAAATGTGGAGAAAATTTTCTGTATTTTTGTCTGATTAGTCACCTTATTATAATAGATAACAGGTCAACCAAGTGTTCTGTACTATGCAGGACCAATTCTTCAGGTACTTAATCCTTATATTCATTTCTACTTTGTTGTGACAATTTTTTTTTTCATTCTTGCTCACTTCGCATTATATTCTGTCATTTATATCTAGAGTGCTGGATTTTCTGCTGCATCTGATGCTACTAAAGTTTCAGTTGTTATTGGCTTATTCAAGGTATAACTAGTTTCATTTGTTCTTCCAAGTAAGAGGGACCACTTTGTGACACTGATTATAAACTTTGTGATTGATGAGACTGTAGTTACTAATGACTTGGATTGCTGTCCTAAAAGTTGATGATTTGGGGAGAAGACCTCTGCTGATTGGAGGCGTCAGTGGCATTGTAGGAATTCCATCACATATTAAACTAACAGATTCTTACTTTGCTGCAAGTCTGCAACTTGTCATATGCAAATGGTCATTTGGTTTTCTTTGATTTTTGTAGGCCATTTCTCTTGTTCTCCTTTCGGCTTATTATAAATTTCTTGGAGGGTTCCCACTTGTTGCTGTTGGAGCTTTACTTCTTTATGTTGGTTGCTACCAGGTAAATAAATTTCTTCTGGTCAGGTTTGGTCATTGACCCTGCTGCTTTCATTATCATATTCAACCTGGGGACAGACTTCGTCTTCAGTAGTATTCAATTAATATTAGCTATGCAATTTGGATACTAGAATATAGGTTGACATGAAGTCATTTAGAGACCTCTCTGTTTCAGAAAATGGAGAACCTTGCATTGCAACAAATAAATTTTTTTGATTTAATGTTGCTGTTGATCATGAGATCAACACAATGATTGATTGAATTACTGTGGCACATTTATGCCAAATTACATTTCCGTTGCAGATATCATTTGGGCCAATAAGTTGGCTAATGGTATCAGAGATCTTCCCTCTTCGCACTAGAGGAAAGGGGATAAGCCTGGCTGTACTTACCAACTTTGCTTCAAATGCTGTTGTCACCTTTGCCTTCTCCCCATTAAAGGTTTTAGATTTTTTACTTTCTTTTGTATTATTTTTCATTCAAGGTTAATTTATCATTTTTAACTTAGTCTGAATGCTCTTGAAGTTTATAATCTGCACTGACTTCTGCTGCAGGAGCTTCTAGGAGCAGAGAATCTTTTTCTCCTCTTTGGCGCTATTGCTCTTCTGTCACTTCTGTTCATTATATTTTCTGTCCCAGAGACAAAAGGCTTGAGTTTAGAAGATATAGAATCCAAAATCTTGAAGTGACAACTTAATCTAAACTAGCACTTTTTGATGTGAATGTTGTATATTATGGTGAGTCTGTCACCTTGTGCATATATCTCTAGCGTGGAATTTGATAGTAATGGTACCATTTGCAGTAAAGACGACGGAATTTTTAATCTCTAACGAGATACTCAAATCAAGGTTTTAGTGTTCATGATTCAATTGCCACGAGAGTTGCCATGTTAACGGAGGACCTATAACTGCGTACCAATCTTTTCAAGAAGAATATTACTAGTGTTAATACTTAATATTCTATATTTTGTTGACTGACAAAATTGTTAAGTGTTTCCTAATCTTCTGGTGACAAAGTTGTATCTCCTCTAATTTTGAAAGTGTTTAACCAATTAGTTGGGGATTATGTTGTAAGATAAATATAGTGGCTTGTTTGTGCTTGTTTCTTGATTTGGTTGTGTAATGCAGCTGCAGTCTTGCAGTTTTGAAGCTAACTTGCTTTAATTCTAACCCTTGTGATTAGGATTCGGAGTACGTATCGTTCCTTATTGTTTATTGGCTCATATTTGCGTAACAATTTGGTGTGCATTCCTCACGAGTTGGACTATTTTTTTTACCACCCAACACAATGCTTACTTTATTATTATTTAGTGGAGATCATTTCATGTGAGAAAATATAAACTGGGGAATTTTTTTGTGCATTTAGCGTTTCATTTTCTATTTTCGTATGGCTTTCCATTTAAGCTTGAAATAGCTATATGTTCTCTCAGATTTCCTCACCTCTCTTTGAGATTAGAACAAGGCTTTGTGTCGCATGATATGTAAAATCGGCAATATGCTATTAAGCAAAGATGTTTGATAACTACTAATACTGGTGAGTGTGAAAAAGAGGACAAATGCCTTAATTATAGCTCATAACTTTATATTCCGTGCCAACAAGATAAAAACTGAATGGTAATATGTAATGTAGAACAAATATATAACAAATACACGGAAATTATCTTTCCAGTCTAATTGTTGGGTACATCATAAAAAGATTGAACACAAAAATGTAGGAAACATGTTATGGAGGCTTTTAATTTGCCTGAAGAATTCGGCCATGGTTTTCTTCCTGAGCCACTTCATAGTCTGCATATTTAGAAAGACACAAGATGAATATGGAAACCAAAGGCGCTCAGATAGACATCATATTACAAAATTGCATGAAGAGGAGATAATAGTTAAAGAATTGGTATTTGTTATGTTACCTGCAGGTTGAGCATTGGTAGATACTGGGATTTGAGATGAAGTGCGATAAACGTTGGTAGATGATGCTGGCCTCTGAGATGAAGCACGAGTAGCGCTGGTAGATGATGCTGGCATCTGAGATGCGGCATGAGAAGCATTGGTAGATGATGCTGGCATTTGAGATGCAGCACGAGAAGCATTGGTAGATGCTGGCATTTGAGATGGAGAGCGAGGAGAAGTGTTGGGAGTGGTAGAAGCTGGGAATTGAGAAGACATGCGAGGAGTAGTAGTAGCACTAGTAGGAGTATTAGGATTAGATGTGTCTGTATATTTTGGTGATCCCTCAGTTCGGAGCAAAGAAGTTACAGCTTCTCTCACCTTCTCCATGACGCCTGCATCACCAGGAGTTCTTCTAGGACTCATTGCTTCAGATATCACCTGAGACAGTGCCTTCTCATCTTCCCCAGGCTCCAATTTGGTCATCAAGTACTCTTTCACCGACACACCCTTATCCCATATTTGTGCACTGGGGCTTGTGTTCTTCCCACTCGGTGGAGTAGTAACAGATGCAGGCGCTGTAGGAGTCACTGAAGGTGATGATGCAAAAGTTCGCGGAGAGCTTGAAGAAACTTGAGAGGGTACCTTTACAGGTACATGCGCAATAGGAGTCACTGGAGGTGATGGTGCAAAACTTCGCGGAGAGGTTGAAGAACCTCGCGAGAGTGCCTTTGCAGGAGCTGTACGTGGAGCAGCATATGACAAAGAAGCGTTATTAGTTGCTTTAGGTGTAACTGCTGCTGCTGCTGATGATGATGCAGTGTGATCACGATGATGCTCTGTAGGTTTGGAATTGGATTCAGCAAGGTTTTGAACTTTGGTGGTTATAGATTGAGCTTCATCTGGTGCTTCAATATGAACAGGTGCCAGTTTCCGTGACACGGTTTCAGTCGTTGTGATGGTTGGACCAGAAAGAGTATCAGCATTAGCATTTTTATTGGTATTATTATTAGTATTAGTATTAGTATTAGTAACAGTAACAGAATTGGTGGTAGTAGCATTTGGATTGATTGTTGTTTTTGCAGGTTGTGTTGTTGTTGTTGTTGATGTTGCAGGTTGTGTTGTTGTTTTTTTCTTAGATATGGAACGGTTTAGTGTCTTTTCTAGATCTTGTTCCACCATGTGTTTGTCACTGGTAGATATAAAATGCCTCTCAGGGGTTACTGGATTTGCTCTTGGACTTGGATGCTGCCTTGCATTTCCTTTTACAGGAGTCTTCTCCGATTCGTAAACTGAAACGTTAATAATTTGAGACAAGAGTTATAGATGTGAAGGAAAGAGAAATATGTTTGAGAAAATTAATGAAGGGAATGATGTTAATTGGATTACCAGGAGGTCCTTGGTATTCAGCTTCGTCCTCTGCTCCATCAGCTTCTAAACCAGTAGCTGATGAGGGACTACTGACGTTGCCGTCCTCGTGTTTCTTCTTGCTGAGGCTGTGGCGTAACTTCTTGGCCTTCTCCTTGACTTTGGTGAGAACTGATTTCTTCTGACTCTGGCCATGATCTTCTTCTGAGTCATGGTGCCTCAACCTTTGGAAGAATGGGGACGAGGGGGAAGAAGAGTGGGTGGACGAGGTAGACGAGCACGTGGAAAAGGTTGGTGACTGCTTAGACTTGGAAGCTTCTCCTGCTGTGCTAAGTGCTAACTAATTAGAAATCATGATTCATGACAACTATTATTTGATCCACATATTTAGTCATATAAATTCTCTTGGTAAGAATTACATGATGATTATGGTTTGGCTGAAGGCATATAAGATAAGAAAAGGATTACCTCGGAGGAGTTGTTCCATGGTATGGATTGTAGCCGGAGTTTTGGATGAAGCATCAATCTGTCTCTGAGGGCGTTCGAGTTCAGCCATATTTCTCTCTATCATTTCCTGGATCGCAATTTCTCTAAACCTTGGGACAAGTCTTTCTTTTTTATATTTGTTCTTTACGTGGATAATATGAGGCAGAGATTGAACGCAAATTAATGAAGCCTGGTCGTGCAATTGTTTCCGGGCTTCTTGCACTACGCAACCGTTCAGTTCCTCCAATCGACTCCTTTTCTACACGTGTACACACACTAACCATTTTGCTTCCTACTAATCCTCAAATAACTACAAACTCTTTTCCTCATATAGTTATTTGACCAGGCAAAGACGCCAAAAATCGTTCAACATCTTCCACTCTAATGTACATCCTTCAACAAACTCAACGTTCAAATTCTGTGAGCAAAATACAAACTAACTCAAATGCCCTATGTAAATAACAATTATAAACCTAAATAAATAAAGATTGACGGCTAAAATTGTGTGGATTTAAATTTCGCAACACTTTATATAAAAGAATTTTAATATAGAGTGCATAATTTTTTAAAAAGTGGGGATATAATATATAATTGGAGTTTATATATGATAGGTCCTAACATTCGTAGCTACAATATTCTCAATGGGACATGTTGCTAGGTTTATTTATTTATTTATTTTATAAAAAATATTTATTCACATAAGTGATGTGCATTACTCTAAGAGCATGTTTAGTTTAATGTTTTCCCTCTTTTTGAATCTATATATACGAATACCATATATATATATATATATATATAAAAAGATAAAACAATTATATAAATATGTGTAATGTGAATATAATAATCCTATAAATGTAAACTATACAATTCAAGTTGTCAGTCAAATAATTAATATTATCTACACAAGAACCAACTTAAAAGGTAGTCATCAAAAAAATATCCAATTTCAACTCTCTTGATTGACCTCCATTGTATAATTCCACACTTATCTCTATCGTACTTTCATATCATATATGATTATCGCAATTCAAATCATATAAAAACATGTAAAAATAAACTAAAGTTTAAAATATATATATATATATATATATACATATATATATATATATATAT